ATGAAGGTTAAGTCCATTAATGGCTATTAGCCAGGATGGTTAAGGAATGGTGTCTCTAGCCTCTGTTTGTCAGACGGTGGAGATGGATGGCAGGAGAGAGATCGCTTGATCATCACCTGTTTGGTTCACTCCCTCTGGGGCACCTGGCATTGGCCACTGTCGGCAGACAGGATACTGGGCTGTATGGATCTTTGGTCTGGCTCAGTATGGCCACTTTTATGTTCTTATGTTCTTAACTTCTGTATATGGAGATTTCACCACCTCCCCAGGGAACCCACTCCAGTGTTTCATCAGTCTCCTAGTGAAATCATTTGTCATAATATCCAACCTAGGCCTTCCCTACTGCAATTGGAACCATTGCTTCTTGTTCTGTCATTTGTCACCATGAAAACAGTCTAGCTCCATTCTCTGCTGACAGTGGCCAATGCCAGGTACCCCAGAGGGAGTGAACTGAACAGGTAATGATCAAGCGATCTCTCTCCTGCCATCCATCTCCACTGTCAGACAAACAGAGGCATTGCTGGTGGTATCTCTCTAGACTCTTGAGGAGTTGATAGGTCACACAAAGAACATTTTTTTTTAGATGGATAGCTGAAAAAAGGTGAAGAGATCCGGGCTGAGGAACTCATAGTTGTTTAAGGGAAGACTAAATGATTGGATGAAGAGAGCTCATTCCCTTTCTGCTTAGTATAAAGACTTACCTTGCTTGTTAGAGTTGATGGCTCTCTGTAATATGTTGCCCACCTCATGCAATCCCAGGATAGGTTAATATGGACCAGGAGGAGCCAATTACATTTACATGCTGCACTGGAGGACAGATAGGGCTTGATCAGGCCTAATTGCGGAGGAAGCCCAGCTGTGGAGGAGCAAGGGTTCCCCACTTTCTAATGGCAGAAAACTGAACCTATCCCAATACTGAGGCTCCCCCGCTACCCTGCCCCTTTTCAATGCCCTGCCCCTGCTCACTCCACTGTCCCTCTCTCCGTCACTCACTCTCCCCTACCCTCACTCACTTGGGGTGTGAGAGGGAGTTTAGCTGTAGCTGGGGATTCAGGCACTGGTATGGGTCTGGGGATGAAAGGTTTGGGGTACAGAAGAGGCTCTGGGATGTTGGTGAGGGGTTCAGAATGCAGAAGAGGGCTCAAGGCTGGGTCAGGGGAGAGGATGTGGAGTGTGGGCTCTGGGTGTAGGTGGGGACTCAGGGCTGGGACAGGAAGGTGGGATACGTGAGAGGGCTCAGGCGTGGGAGAGAGCTCAGAGATGGAGCAGGGTGCTGAGATGTATGAGGGGGTGAAGGCACTGACTGGTGGCGTAAATTCTAGGATGGAGCTGGAGATGATGGGTTTGGGGTGCTGGAGAAGGCTCAGGGATGGGGCAGAGTATTGGTGTACAGGTTGCAGATTAAATTAGGGTTAAAATTAGTAAAGGAGAGATGCAAAAAAGAGAAAATGAGAGAACTAAAATTTTTATTTGTAGGAAATCAAATTATAGCGGAGAGTTATTTCCTCAGCGGTTGACTTGGAAATGTATGACAAAACTAAGAGAAGGGAAAAAACCCACTATGACAAATGAAATTTCTGAAATTATTTATGAAAAGCAGATCCAGCTTTGCCAAGTCTATACAGACAGATCAGAAGACGACAGAAAAGGTTGAGTTTGAACAGTCTTCTGTGTTCCCAGACTTGGAATCCAGAAATTGAAAAGACTATTAAATTATGTGACCATTCTGATGATTGAACTAATAGGGAGATTGTTGGCAGAAACATGCATAAAAGATGTGTGTGCAACTGTAATTTTATCTGATTCCTTGTTAGGCATTATGGCAATCAAAACAGGGGCTTCAGAAAGCAGAAATGACCTAAAGTGAAAATAATGTTCCTAACCTAATGCAAGCAGGTATCTGTGTGACAATAGCATGGAATCTAGCAAATATCAGAATACCTGAAAAAGGGATTGTTAAAAAAACAGCAAATCAAGCTCTAAAAAGTTAGAAGGTGGATATTAAGATGCTCTTAGGTAGACAAGAATTTAAAAGGGTAGTCACAAAGGAGCTTAAGAAGAAATGGCAAGAACTATGGACTAAGGAAACAAAAAGACAAAGGTTTGACAATGTATGCCCACAAATCAAAGATAATACTATACTCAACAATTATGATAAAGTGAACTAGTCTTTTTCAGGAGAAAATTGTGGCCTAAATGGTAAGTTAAACTTACTAAAAATACATAAAAGTGGGCTGTGTAATGTATGCCAAACTGAAGAAACAGTTGATCCAACTTAATGGCATCATGGACAATAGTCCATACAAAGGTGGTTTTGTTACAAAAATGTAAGGGATATGGAATAGTGCAAAAAGTTTTGCTATGTTTCCTTAAGGATGCTAGACTGAGTCTAATAACGGTTTAAAAAAAACCTCAGGCTAAAATAACGAAGAATGTGGCAATCATAGCCCTATCTAATAAGGCTACTATGCCAAAAATAAAGACAAAAGAAGAGGCTGAAGGGAGGAAGTCTGCAGTCCTTAGAGGTAAAGAAGTTGGCTAGGGACTCGGAGGAGATTCAAGTGGAGAGTAAGGTTGTTAGTTATCTGGTAATTGAATAGTTGAGTAACCGCATGAATTTTTGACTATTTTATAGTCCCTATAAACAGTGCACTGGGAAGCCCCCTGCCACCCTGCTCTGCTGCTTCTTTATCAGAGGCAGCAGCCGGAGGTGCCAGGCAAGAGCTGGTCTGCGAGGGAAGGCAGTTTAAATACCACCTCCCTGCGCGGGGTGGGGGGGGTGTCCATGGTGAGCCTGGGCTTGCCATGGACAGAGACTGCTCCGGCAGCAGCCCCTGCACACTGGGGAGTCTGAACTCCCCAAGCTGCATGGCAGGGAGGATTCCTGTAGTTGACAGGATTAACCGATAAGCCTAGCCTTAGACTACACGTCAACATCCCTAGTGGAGAGAGTAAGCCCTGGGATCTTGCGTTGGACTAGGGAGTCTGAGAAGAAGCCACAAGTGGTAAAGTAACCACACAGAGTGAAGGAAGTGCCATGGGTAAATCCAGACACAGAAATAGAGGTAGAGAGGTGGGATAGGAAGGAACAAGGGAATCAACAACAGAGACTGAGCAAACCTAGGTTGCTAGTCACAGGGTCCCTTTTCTGGAACTCAGAGTAGCTGGTGGGCCCAGGTTCCCACACCAGTCCTAGGGGAATTAGCACAGGACCTGTACCCCTGAAACAGGAGACCACCTGAAACAGTATTCCACTGAGGAGGCCCAAAGGTCTAGTTACAAAGACAGAATATTCCAAATCCCAAAGACAGAGGGGCCACTGAGCAAGCAAGAAGCACAAGGGGGTGCCAGATGGGCGAGAGTTAATTCTCAGACCTAGTCACAATTCTCCCCTGCAGTGAGTGAAACCTCTTCACATTCACAAAGACAAATGCTGCTCAACTGTCAGGCTAGACCAGAATTAGATTACTGGTAGAACCTGTTCTACACATAAATATAGTGGTAGTAGAAGTGTCCTTCATATAGCTCTTAAGTCTAGAGTATTTCAACAGAGCTTTATCACTTTATATGACTATTTCACTGGAGCCATATTACCATCTCCACATGCAACTTTTAACCACAGACCGATTTGCAAGTGTAGCGAGAACAGTTAAATGGACATCAGATGTACAAGTTGTCTTAACCAATGCTGAGTCATGGAATCAGCATATGAGAGAAAATCATCTATGGAATGATACCAAAAGCTATATATGCAAAGGATTACGCATCACTTCAGTCATCCTCTATTCATAGCTGGATATGATGCACAGAAGGAACACTGATGGATCTGAAGCCAGAAGCAGGCCAAGGATATACTCTCAAGGCAAGCAACCAGGCCAAGAAACTGCATTCCGCAAGAAGAGAACATAACATCTGGATAGTTGCTTTTACACTGATCAGTCTCTTCACTGATATGAACTATTCCTGACGTCTGTACATGGTAGATTCAGGATGAGATTCCAAGAAGGAATCCCCAAGCTTTTGTTGGGATTAACACGGAGATCAAGAATTCAGAGCATGGTTACAGTCTGGAACTCATAATTATATCTCTTGCACTTATTCCCACCGACCAGCCACTTTTTAGGAGAGGAAATTATTGTGATCCTCTGTTTCTATATTTCAAAGAATATTTTTTTAAAAAAGGGATTGATGACAAGCTCAATTGGAAAGTGCATATATGCAATCAAGATTTCCTGAGGCAGAATATAGACACTGCTATTGCAAAGGAGAAATCAATGTATACTGTTTAGAACAACAGTGATTCACAACTTTTTGTGATGTATCAGACCCTGCCTTCTCTTCCCCAGTATCTTTTCAAGCCACACCTTACTGTGTCCAATAATAAGCCTAGCATTACACAGTCAATTCTGAAAGTAAAATAACACTTGGAGTGACTTTCTGAAGAGTAAATCGTAGGTCAGTGACAGAGATTAAAAGAATTCAATTTCCAGGTTTTCAGTTCCTATTCTCTGTTCAGTAACTCCATTGCTATTAATGAGCTACAAGCTCTGCAGTTGTAGGTAACGTTATTATACAGTTGCCCTTTGAAGTAAGTCTTTACATACAGTTTATTTTTTAAAATAAATCTATCAAAGTCTGAGCTCTCTCTATCTTTAAATTTTAATGACTGGAAATTTTCATGTACACATCTTACTAAGATATAGCCCTCTGGTTTTTTAAATCTCTCACTTTCTTTTGACCATAAGCAAACTATATTCTGAATGTCTTCCCTCCAACATAAAAAAATAAACATTTTCCACTTCCAAAGATGATCATTTAATTAATCTGCCAGACAATGTCTGCCCAAGGAGGCCAAATAATCATTCTTCCCATTGGGCTAGTACTATATAAGCAAGGTAAAAGGAGTTTTCAACATTACTTTAAAAACTTTAGAAAGTGAAATTCCAGAAAAACTAGTTTATCATGTTTGTTAATTTAAACTGAATGGAAAAGAAACCTACCAGCAGTTCACTGAGTTGTTCATAATCAAACATTTCATTTTCATACTGTTCTGCCAGTTCTTTGCCCAAAGCAATGGCCTCTTCCCACATCTGTTAAAAAAAAACACAATTGAATTATATATCTTAGTCAAACAATGAAATTAGATTAAAATAAATTGTAACAAAACATAGCAAAATACATTCTATTATGCCTGAAAAGTACTGGGCATAAAATATGACAAAGTCAAATGTTTGTGGTAGCTTCTTTCAGGTGTCCATCCTTTTATTTACTGAAGATTTAATAAAAGTAAATCCTCTTTCTACTAACCGGGCCAGGTAACCCAACCTGTGAACAACGTTTACTATCTATTCGGGAATCCTAAAAATCAGAGCTTCTGATAAACACCAGAATCTATTTGTAATCTACAAATCTAAAGTAGATACAGGCAGGCTATACGTGAAAGGTACTTCTTTTGATTTGTGCACACATTCACTATATTTCTATTGTCTCATTTTTGTCTCCTTCAAGCATGAGATTCAAGAGCCTTCTGAACTGATACAAAATAATTTAACAATAACTAGCAATATCTTTCATCTATTCAGGATGCAGAGAATCCTGAAGAGTAATAGCAACAATGTTTTTAAATGTGTATTTTTCATTTTCACTAATGTACATGTGAAGAGTCATGTTTAAATTAGCATACCAAGAAACCCAAGATCAAGCCTTACACTCTGTCTTTACAGGTGAAACTTGGCTGGAATTTCACTTAACAAAATCTAAGCATCAGAATGAATTTGATGCCAATTTTTTCCATATTGTGCTTTATCTTAAATTTGAAATTATAATTATATCCCTCCATGAGACACCTAATTTCCTTCTCAACAAAGTGCTACTCCTTGCCATGCTGTAAAACAGACACACAGCTACTGCTTCAAATGGAAGCAACATTAAAAAGGGGTGCAAGTGAAGGGGTAAGCACTTGCTTCCCTGTCACTCCTCAAAGATATCTGCCTTGCAGAGAAAGAGTTTGAGATGTAACTACACAAGCTTCCTAATGATGTTGAAACTGGCTGCAGAGAAGGTATAAGAAGAAAGTGCACTCATGACATTTGTGTAGCTGGTAAGTGTAGACAAGAAGCTGCTGTCAGATTTAAGAGAGATGGAATGGAGGAAACAATAACCAAGAATCCTCAAAGACTGCCACTGGATATGGTGGTGGGGAAAAGGATGATGGAATCTGAAGCCTTTAAAAGCAGTTGTGAGACATACAGAACAAAGGCTGCAGCTCCCCAGAGATAGGCCCTGGACATCAGGGAAGGAGCAGGGCCTTGGAACATCATTCTGACATTTTTTTGAGAAAGAGCTGAAATGATGTTCTGGCACTGTTTTGGGGGAGACACTTATGAGTTTCAACCTGCCTTTTTTCAGGACTCAAGCACTGGGAAGCAGTGGACTAGCACTATTATGTGGAACAGAGACTGTGTCACCAATCTAATGTCTGCTGTTCAGCTGCCTAGACTGGGACTAATGGGAGCCAGGAATTCATGAGGCCTAAAATTTGTTACACTCAGTCCCCTTTGTAATTGTAGGAGAAATCGCTTAACCTCGTTGCCAAAGTTTCTGCCTCTGAAAAATGGGGATACAACATACTCACCTATTACACAAGGATGGGATTAGTACTAGTTAATGTTTTTAAAGTGCTTTGAAGAGGGACAATTTCTCCTGCCATTAACAATTCCACATCAAACAGTTGTATATGAGACACATCCAGACCATTTAATTAGCCTTATTAACACAGATCTTACAACTGACAGGTACTTCTGCTGATATATTAGTTTCTGATATTTCCACTCCAATTCGTCTGATGAGGTGGGTTTTGCCCATGGAAGCTCATGATTCTATATATTTTGGTTAGTCTCTAAGGTGCCACAGGACCACACATTGTTTTTGAAAATGGACAATGCAATATAAATGCTTGCTACGCCCATTATAAGCATATAATGGAATTCAAAAAGGTTCAGACAAGGCAAAAAAGGGATGCAGCAAACAGAATGATTTGCAGATGATGAGACACTAAAAGATATGGGCTGTTCATCTTAGAAAAGGGATAACTAAAGGTGATATGACAGAGCTGCATTGAATCATCAATGGTGCAGAGAAAGGGAATAGAAAAGTGTTATTTACTCTTCACACAAAACAAAAACCAAGGGTCACCCAATGAAATTGACAGGAGCAAATAAGAGGAAGAAGTTTTCACCCAATGCACAATTAACCTCTGGGACTCTGCCTAGGCATGATGTGGTGGGTTAAAAAAAAACCCGGACAAGTTCATGAGAGACAGGACTAGGATGCCACTCCTTGCTTGAGCTGACTCTAAACCAGAGTACCAGACGACAGAAGGGGAAGATAGGATGGATCACTCCATCACTGACCTGTTCTGTATACTACCCTTGAAACTCTGGTATGAGTCACTGCTGGAGAGAGGATATTGGGCAAAATGGACCATGCTCTGTCTCAGTTTAATAGCTCTTCTATTTAATGGAATTATTAATTACTATTTTGAAAACGATGCCGCCAGGCCTGATGAAAATTATATAACAATTGCTAAAACAGGAAAGAGATTTTTTGCAAATGTAGGGCATTAATTTCTAGTACAAACTACATATATGAAAAAAACCCCCACCTTTAATCTAGACTGGGGAAAGAAAAATGTTTTAACTTTATATAAAGTGTAATATGGCTAAAATAACTGAGGAACAATTAGAAGAAATCTAATATACTCTTATAGCTATGATTTAGGCTAAATTTCTTCTGGCTCAAAGCAACAATATCCTGCAAATGTATATAAACCAAAACTAATATCTGCTTTGGTAAGTCAGCAAGTATAGAATTCTTCATAAAGCATTGAACCTTTCTTAATTTTTAATGCATCTTTATAACTTCAGTCATCCATAACATCTTTTATACAATTCTGCTCCAAAGAAAATATCTTTACTTTAATTTTCATCGCACTGGGTTTTGTGGGTTTTTTTGGGGTGAGGAGGGTTGATTTAGACTCAACTAGTCAATCTCAAAAATGGAGTAACACTAGCTTTCCTTGTGAAAATATTTTAGTGATAGATCTAAAATAACAGATGAACTGTATCACATAGTTTTAAAAAAACTTCTTGTTTAAAATAAATGTCACTCTAAATTTTGGAATCATACCATCACTGTAAACAAGCACATTTTATTGCATCAGTACAATTTTAGCAGCATATTCCCAGTCTACCTTTGGTAATTAAAAGAGTTGCTTTAGTATAAATGCATGATGTCACTTAATATAAACTCTTTGGGCCAGATCCTCAGCTGATGTAAACTGGTACAGCTCCTTTGAATGTGGTGCTTTTGTTGTCAATTCCTGGGATAAAACTCTCTACAACTGAAAACGAGTCATTCTCAGTAGAGGATCTTTGCCTGGAGAATTTACTCTCTCTCTCTCTGGCAGCTCACCAGAGCTAGACTTGGTGGCCTTTCGGGCGAAGAGATAGGCCTACTTAATTAACCAAGCTTTTGGAAAAATAATTACTTTACAATTATGAAGTGATCACTGACAGATGGATGTTTCTATTTAGACCAGACAGTAGCATTATATTTGATATTAGAGAATATCAAATATCATTATAAATACTGGATTTTAAGGATTTGATTAATCTAGATGTGATTACAATGGCAAACTTATACAAAAAAAAATAAAAATATGTAAAATAAATGTTTTTAAACACTCATCACTAGAGATACATGACAGAAAAATGAATTTCAAAAGATTTCAACTATGACAGAAAAATTAATTCTAAGGTTACTAAAGTTAGTCCTTTAGTATATTTTATATTGAAAAAATAAGGAATAAAAATGACATGAAAAAATAAGCAAATGTATTTTTCATGCAATAATGAAGATTTATTAAAAATCTCAAGCTTTAGTTTGGCAAATTATTTCTGGTGTAAGAGAGGGTAGTAACCAATTTCTGCTCCATCGTACATTACCATTTTATTATTGATACTAGATTTAGCATCATTGCTCTTTTTATTGTTATAATGCCTAGAAGCCTATCAAGATTGAGGTCCCACTGTAGGAGGCACTGTATAATATAAAAGCTGCAAAGAAAGAGGGGTGCTGAGATCGCAGCATCACACAGACAAATGGAGTAATTAATACTGAATATGCTATTTCAAGTAAATGTGAGACAGCATGATCTAGTGCTAGATGTCAGGAGAGTTTAGAGTCTTCTCTGCTACTGAGTCTCGTGTGTGTCTTTGGCCAGCTTACAGTTCCTTGTGCCTTTGTTAGTTGAGATGATAAACACTTCAGGGCAGGGACTCTCTTACAATGTGTTTGTGCAGTGTTTAGCACAATGAAGCCCCAAACTCAGTGGGGCCTGTAGAAGGCACTATAATATAAATCATATCCATAATACAGTTTGAACCTCTGTGGTTCAGGAGTCTCTGATCAGGCAACATCTGTGGTGAGCCCTGGGGAGAGGAGCCTGGAGTCCGTTATTGGGGCTGGCAGCAGAAGCAGCATGGGGGCAGGGAGCCAGCAGCGCAGAGCCTGGTGGCCGGGGCTGGACCCAGCAGCAGATCCGGGCCAGGGGTTCAAAGCCCGCCCAGCAACTGGAGTCAGGAGTAGAGCCTGCCTGGGAGGGATAGCTGGGGCCAGGGTTGAACCTGTGCAGCCTAGCTGGGGGCACAGAGCCTGCCCGGTGGCCGAGGCCAGCAATACAGCCCAGCCGGGGGGCATGGAGCCCACCCAGCAGCTGAGGTGGGGAATGGCAGTGCAGTCTGGCCGGGAGTGCGGAGCTGGCAGTCAGCTGGGCTGAAGGCATGGAGACTACCCAGTGGCCAGAGTTGACAGTGCAGTCCAGTGGGGGGAGCAGGAAGGGAGCCCGGCAGCCAGGCCGGTGGCCCCAGGACAGAAGCTGGACTGGCTTCAGAGGAGGTTGGTAGGGGGTGGAGTAGAGGGGAGCCCGACTGTCTGCAGATGGACCCCAGGAGAACCCAGAGTCCATCAGCGGAAAGGCTGGAATTGACCTCCCTTAGTCCAGCAAAATCCCTCATTCAGGACCAGTCAG